CGCTAATTTGACAACTATCGTTTTGATATCAAAATAAATTCCTTCTTCTCAATTAATAAATAAAGGAAATATGTAGTAAAGAGAAGTAAGGGTCAATCCTCATAGACTTAGAAAATTCCAAATTTTTGTTTGAATGACTTAAACCAGGTGATAAGTAGTAAAAAGGGGGTTTGGTAAAAAGGATTAAATAATAAAGTAAATAAAAATTGAAGGTTGGAATTGAATATGGTAAAAACAGCCTCAAGCCTCGCTTTGACTCAATTTCCTTCGGATCATCGAATTAGATTTTCTCTTCAGGATTCACGTTGGTTACTTTGTCTACAAGGGCAATCCTCGTGACTCTTCTTTGTATACTGAATACCTAAGGCAATCTTTGATTCCGGCTTCAGAAATTGATCTGATCAACATCAATTGTTGTATATCAATAATCGTTTAAGTATGTGAAGACTGACTCGGATTGTTGTTTCAATAACTACTAATTTTGATCTCAATTCCTACTAATTTTGATCTCAATTCCCTCTTGGCAAGGCAATCTCGCCAAGTGTGTTCCTAGGAACTCGAATGTGCTTTCAATAAGCCGATCCTTCCTCCCACACATTTAATCACAAAAATATCTTGACTAAAGTTAATCTTTGATTTTGAAAATTGTTTTGATTTTTGAAAATAAGCGTAGAGATTGAGAGAGAGATTCTGAAGTTATTCAAGTGCTTTTCAATTCTCACGTTGGAATTGAGTTATCGATTCAACTCTCGGTTTATGAGAAAATTAGCTAAGCATAACAAAAGTCAAACTTAGAATGTTTAAAAATAAAACTTAAAATAAAAATAAAAATGAAAACTTAAAAAGAAAAGAGAGAACTTTATAAAACTAGAAAGAATAAGAAGAGTAAATTCTGAGTTGTGAGTTTAGGCTTACCCCAAGAGGGTATTTATAGCCTCTAAAACCTAGAAATTAAAATAAAAATAATCCTAAAGATAATTCCAAATGTTTTCTAAATTCAAACTTTAAAATTTAAAAATAAGTCTCCTAAGATATCTTTACCCGTCCATCTTCCAGAAGGTGCTGACTAGATCTTCTAGAAAATTGCTACTGACTGAACCTTCTAAAAACTACCACGTCAGACCGTGTCATGCCCAGAGCCGTGTCCATGTCTCCAACTGTGACCAAATAATAAAAAAATGCAGAATGCGCCCATTTACTACTAATTCTGGAAAGTAAGACCCTGCACGAAAATAAGCATAACACAGCCAAATCAGCAACAATAAATTCATAAGATCAAAGAATTAACAAGCAAATATTTTCGATTCAGAACACTCGTCATTCATCTTGCTTATTCATTTTGGTTTAATGGGATATTTCGATGCTTATGATTGTTGCTTTCCTTGGTTGACTTGTTAGTTTTTTCATAATCCCCTGTTTACAAGCTTGAGTTAACCTTCTTATGCATGAATAATTAAATTGAGTCAATAAGATGATTTTATGAAAACCTTTAACCTTGTGGTATAATTGTTAGTGTTTCTTAAATATGAGCTTTTTCTAATTTCGCTAGTGATTAATGTTATCTTCAGGTGTATAACCTTGTGAGGCGATTGTGAGTGTTAAATCGTTTGAATGTAACCAAATTGGAGAACCGAGGTGAGGTGCTTGAGTTGTCATCCCATTTCCAGTTTAAATGTTCGGTGACGAGTGGAGACTACATAGTTTTTAAAAAATTGAGAGAAGTACAGAAAAAAGGGAGGAATTTCAAAAAAAAATGAAAAAAAAAATGAAAAACGAAAAAAAGAGGAAATAGGCGCTTGAATACAAAAAAAGAGAGAGCGAGTGATACAAAAGGGGAGGCAAATCAAACTCATACTCCATCAATCGCTTCTCATGAGGAAACTAATCTTGGTTCGATTTCATCTCACAAACAAATAGAAAAAACTCTGCATATCTAACCCTTATCCATTTGGTTAATTGTTGATCATTGGGTTAGCTTGTCACTTTTATTTGATTATCTTGTCTAACTTTTTCAACCCATGTCTGAGCTTGAGATTTGACAAAACTTTTTGAGTGAATCTTTGGTAAGTGATGGAAATAGGGATTGAAGTATGCTTGAGGACAAGCATTGAATAAATGAGGAGGAATTTGATTAGTGTTTTATATTGCATATATCTATTGTTATTTACTCCTTATTTTGGATTGGATATTACTGATTTATCTTTATTTTAGGTTTATTTTGAACATGAGCTTTATTGGACTAATTAGCACAAAAAGTAGCCGAATTTTTTGGTCCAGTCAACATCTTGAATATTTAATTGGAATTTACCTGATATAATGTTATCCATAATATGAAGCAAAATTTAACCAGAAGTACAAGATTTAAATATTTATTTTTATCTTTTATGATAAACATTTTATATTTAAGATTTTTAGTTTGATTATTTTATTATTATTTTATTTATAAATTAGTTATTTTATTAGAACATTTGATAGGATTTTTAGTTTGATTAGGAATTAGTCATTTTATTTACTTAGAACTTTTGGGTTATATATACCCCTTAAGTTCAACCTTTGAACTCATATTGGAATTTATATTTCTTTGCTATTTATTAAAGTTATATTTTTCTTTCATCTTTTTTACTTTTCTTTCATCTTTTTACTTTTCTTTCATTATTTTCTTTTCGCAATGATAAGCATGATCTAATCTATGCTTAGCTAAATCTCTTTTAGTTGATAGTTGAGCGACGACTCAATCCGTTTCGTGAAAATTGAAAACGCGCTTCACATCTTCAAAGTTCTTAACATCTTTAAAGTTCTTTCTTGATTTTTGGCAAACATGGTTAGGTAATCGACTTAATTTTTAAATTCTTTACACTTTTAATTCAAAAGGTCGACATTGGTTTGGAAGATTGTTTTGAATTACCTTTGGGGAGGAGAAACAAATTCAAATTCCTAAGAACAAACTTAACGGCGGTCCGTTAAGGGAAATCAAGATCAGATTTGATTCTCATTGAGACTAGGGATGGGCCTGGGTCGGGTCGGATTTTTGGTCTACCCGGCCCGATGAAATTTGAATTTTAACCCGATCCGACCCGATAGACAATTTAAAAACCCGACCCGATTTAATTTTTTTATTTATTAAAAAGAGGACTTGAAAATAACCCCAAAAAACGGAGGAATTAGAACTTCAGAGATTGTTTCAAGATTGTGAAGGAGAAACAACTGCAGTTTGTGTAATCTAAACAAAGACACTCAAATCGGGAAACGAAACATTTAGCTGATCTGATATAAACCAGGTTCGGGAAAGAAACATTTACAACCTCTCCCCCTTTCCAAAAAACAAACGGAAAAGAAGAGAACACGAAGAATGTTCCCTAATTCCAGGTCAGCAAATATAGAGAGAGATCCTCATAATCTCATCAGAGAAAAGGCAAAGGGAATCGAAAATTCGAAATACATAACATTCAAGACAAAAATAAGAAACCCAAACCCCTAAAAATTACACAGCCTAAGAAGAATAGTAACCTATACGGGAACTTCAAAAAGAAAACCAGCAAAGGATTAAGAAACAGAGGCGTGTATCAGTCCAAAGCCTTGAATTTCTCTCTGTGTTAAGTGTTTGAAGTTCAAAGCGTTGAAAACTTGAAGCCTGAAGGAGATGGTGAGATGCAGATGCTCGGGTAGTGTTAGGGAAAGTAAAAAAAAAATACTTATGCATTAACTATTCGGGTCGGATAGGATTATTTTAGCCTCAAACCCGACTCTGAATATTTTAATATAAAATCTGACCCGACCTGATTTCGAATTTTTTTAAAATAAAATTCTACCCGATCGGATTGGGTTGGGTTCGGATTCCATGCCCATCCCTAATTGAGACGCATAATTCGAGTATGGACTTTTCTACCATTAAAGAAGATATTGGCGTTAACATCGAGTCGAAGTTAAATCCAAACAATGATTAATTTTCAAGAATTGATTTTGGGGATTAATTCACATGAGAGAAGAGCAAATTATAAGGGTTGAGCTTCGTAGACTGTAATTGGTACGATTTCGAAGTAAAATCTATTTCAATGATCGAGACGAGTCGAATCAAAATGAAGCTAGAGGTTATCTCTTATCATTATCTCTTTCAAGTATGTATTTTTATTGCTTTGTTATTTTTATTTAATTTTAGTTTATTCAATTAAATTCGATAAACACCTCCTTTTATTTTATTTTGCAGATTTTTTTTTGTTAGAGATCAAATCAGATTTAAATAAAAATTTCTTAGTCCTTGTAGATCGATTATATTTCTCTATACTATTCTATTTATTTATTTTGTTTTATTTATTTAAATTAAGAATTAGATTTACTTATTTGATAGTTACGACGTTTGTCCAGGGATGTGGAGGGTGTAGAGGTGTTCTTCGCTACACCTATGGAGAAATAAGAGCTATATTTTCGGGGCTTGTTCGGACTCAAGCGAAGCTGTTGCTGCAATTTTAACTATGAAATTGGCGTTGGATGTGTTCGTTGAGGCTGGGTGGTTAGGCTTGGCACCGCTGACCTTGGAATCTTCTTCTCGTATTGTCTTAACAGAACACAGAATAATTTATGCAAATTAAGGAAAAAAAATTCTAGGAAAGAACTGGAAACAAATCGAATCTTTTGCAGTCATTTCTATGGTTAAAGGAATAAAGTATTTGCATGATTCCTTGGCTTATATGGTCCTGCGCCATTCTTACAAGAAAATAACTCTAAGCATATAAATCCAAATGCACCCTGGACGCCAAATACTATGGTTAAAGGAATAAAACTATCATTACAACCGTCTTTCAAGCTAAGCTAAACTATTATAACAATGTGAAAAACAAAACCAGATGTTATCATGTAGTTTGGTTCCAACTAACTTAACAAAATTGTAGATATTTGCAATGAGATTTTTTAATGCAATCAAAACAACTAATAAACCCAAAATAAGCCAACAACATAATTACTAGCAAGTATTGAGAATATCACTAAGTTTGAACATGATTTGTTCAATTGAAGGTCTTGTCTCCGGCAAGCTGTTGGTGGAAGCCAAAGCAATCTCTAAAACCTTGAAAGCTTGCTTCCGTTCTTTCCCTCTCACTGGAACTCGAAAAACAACTTTCACCTTTTTTTATCCTTTCCTTCATTTTAACTATGCAGTTAATGTAACTTAGGTCCTGCACTCCCCCTAGCATGTCAAGCAAAACCAGACCAAAATTGAAGACATCGCTCTTTTGACTCAAATCCTCACAGTAAATGTTATTTGTTATTCTTGATTGTTCTTTGCTCTCAGAATCTTCAATGCAGTCGGCCAACTGGACGAACCCGTAATCCGATAACCGAGCTGTGAGGTCGTTGTTTATCATGATGTTGGAGGATTTTATGTTTCCGTGAACGTTCATTTTCATGTTCTTTGCTGTTGGTGGGGATTGTCCGTGGATGAATGCGATTGCTCTTGCAATTGAATCTATTATTCTCAAACGTTCATTCCAGTTCAAAGCAGTTTGGCCTCGCCTCCCACCTTGATATCATGCACAACATTGAATAAACATATAACATTATATTAAACAAACAGGTAATGCTAAAACAATGAACGAAAGGTCAATTTGGCATTTCTATTTTTTTTAATTAAGTACCAATAGGTCAGCTTTTTAATTTGGTATATGGGTCTAAATGATCGAACTTGAACGAATAAGTTTATGTTTGTGTTTGTCTTTTAAAAAAAGAGTTTATATTCATTTAAATTTTTAATACCATGTCCGGTTCATTTAATATTCACGAACATGTTCGTTTAACATTCACAAACATATTCATTTAACGTTAACAAACTTCTTTACTTCAAAAAATTTATTCGTGAACATGTTCATCAAAATATTCGTTTATACCTTGATTTCAAAGTTTAATTCGAGAGAGTTAACAAAAATTTTGGAGTGATTTCATTACTTACCCAAGTCCTAGACGAAGTGACAAGGGTGTGGTTGAACCAATGCCAAGGGGCACCGGTTTGAGTTTTCTCAACAACTAATACTCTCTTTTTATCCTTTTATTTGCAAGCCAAAAGAAATATAAACTATATTATCATGTGTTCAATTTAATCCATACATTTATCAATATTTAAAATGTAAAAAGATAAAAGGAAAAAGAGAATTTGAACTCCAAAATTTATCATGTGTTCAATTTAGTCCTTATATTCACCAATAGTTAAAATGTAAAAAGATAAAAGGAAAAAGAGAATTGGGTAAACAAGCCGATAAATGAGTTTTTTTAATATAAATGAACCAAATACACATCTATTCATGTTCATTCGCGTTTATTAAATGAACATAAAAATTTTATTCATATTCATTTATTTAGCTTAATAAATAAACATTATACGAACATTTTATCGAATGATCTATTCATTTATACCCCCTTATTGATTTTAAATGCAATTTCTAAATTGTTTGGAATGGCAAGAAAGTTTTGTTTAAAATTAGTTTTGTGGGTTTTGAAACCCAAAAAAGTAGAGGTAAACAATGTGTTTAGTTTACGTTTATAATCTATCAAATGAAAGGTAGTGTTTTATGTATGAACTGAGAAACTCACCTGAAAGAAGGTCAGCTAAGCTTCCCATAGGATAGTAGTCTAAAACAACAAGCTTGATCCTCTTGGCATATAAGTAAGCAGTGATGGGGACGAGGTAGTCGCACTTGTTACAAACCTGAGCCAACCTCTTGACTCTCCTACCGAACTCACTCTTTCTCGCTATTACCTTCCGAAACCTCTTTACAGTGCAAAATCTACCATTGGATAGCACCACTTTTTCAGTCAATCCTCTGGTGTTCTCTCCCATCACACCCACGGATGTCCTCAGAACCTCCTTCAACGACAGCGATTGCCCATTGTTTTCACAAGAAATCAACGGAACGTCATCCATAAATCCTACGATGCAATCATCGTACTCGGAGATGGAACCTGACCTGCTGTTTTCACCATAAAAACTTCTTCTGGGTTTTGTAAACGCCCTTGACAACATTGTTCTGGGGATGAAGATGAAAAATATGGGGCTTATGGAGAAATATTGAAGGGAAATATGGGGTTGGGTGCAGATTTGGGGCGGTTTACATTGGTTTGAGGTGTTGGAATCATCGAAAACGGGGCGGTGATACTTTGTTTTGGCATTTTCTGGCTTCATATAATCCAAAGAATGGCCATGGAAATTCTCTTCGATTCTGGTTTGTCTTAAGCGGCATGCTTGCTTAGAAACAATCCTAGTAGTTTTCTTTTGTTTCATTCTGGTATTTCATGTAGTACCTCTAGCTTATATCAGCCATGCATTTCATTCAAATTTGATTTAAGAATCAGATACGGTTAGAAAATCTAGTTATGAGATTACGATAACGGTGAAAGATTTTGTTATAAGTTTAAGAGACCTAGCTTTGGCTTTCAATTCGTTTTTTTTTTTTAAGAAATGGATACTTTTATAAGTTATGAATAGCAGCCTTTAATACGTCAACAATAATACATTTCTGGTGCTCAAAAGCCTAATGAGCTAACTAAACGATGGGCTGCATGCCTGCATCATTAGCAGATCGTTTTACATAGCAAACACACCGAGACTTGTAAAACCATAAGTCCAATATACACTTATTGCTTCCTCCAACCATTCAAGATATCGTTTAATGTTCGCGAACATCTTTGCTTCAAAAAGCAATCGGTTTAACACCGCCTCATTGTGGAGTTCCAGTGATCGGTCAACACGAGTGAATAAACAGAAGAAGCCCTAACTAGTTACTAACAGAAACAGACTCGTAAGAGGAAAGTCAACAACGTTTTTATATTTCATTAAACCCTAGCTGCTTTTACAACGAGACTTGATTAGATATTTATAACAGCCCAAGCCCAACCAACTTGGGTTTGTTACAATTGAATTCATACAGACTTATACGCCATCATTCTCCCGGCCGCCTTCATCCTCAACTTCTTCCAACGAAAAAACTCCAAGCATGCTCTTAAACATTGAAGGAGGAATTGGTTTTGTAAGCACATCTGCAACTAAGATTACATAAACTATTCCGTATTTTGTCCAAGTAACAGTACCAACTTTAACGCGTGGTCTCTCTCTCGGCCTTTTTTTTAAATATTCTCCGGTTTTCAAAAGTCAAACAATTCCGTATTTGATGTGTCAGGAAAATTTATTAAATCCCACTCAACATCAAAGATTACATAAATTTACACCGTACCAAAAGTTAAGCATCTCAAAACTCATATTTATCCTTACTTTATTTATTTTTCAATCAAATTATAATTTTCTTTATTTATTAAGTCTATAATATATTAATAAATAATATTATCTTAATCTTAATTCATACTATTAAATTTCAAATAATTTTTCTATCAAACATAAATATATCTGTTTGAATCTATGATAAAAATTAATTTCACTAGATCGAATATTCTCTTCCTCATGGATGAAATAATGGATATTGAAATTATAATCACCTTGCTAAATTTTTTTAATTTTCATATATTTTTATATTTTTTATTAATATTATAATTTTTTATTTCTAAAATTTAAAATTTTATACCCCTAATATAAATGTTTAAGTTTACATGTTAACTAACATCATAATTTCACTTAAAATGATAAAAATAAATAAAATTTATCTTAAAAACAATATGAAATAGATTGTTAAATCCATGTCATCATTTAAAAGACCAAAATCATCATCATAATTTGATTTATGTCAATAGGTTTTCTTTCAATTGGGCATATTACAAGTTTAGTATCTAAATTATTATTTATGTCTCATTTAGTACTTAAATTTTAATTTTTTCTAAAATCATACCTAATGTTTAATTTAGATTTTATTTATATACCCCGTAATTTAAAACTTAACGTAGATTTTAACGTATCACCATAAAATAATATCACGTTATCATTGAAAAATAAATAAATAATGTCATGTCTTTAGTTCTATTAATTTTTTACAAAAGGATATCAAATTGAAACATAAACTAAACGTTTGGTATAATTTTATAAAAAAAATAAAGTTTATGTACCTGAACGGAATAAAAATAATTGTTTAAGCATTAAACAAATAATTTACCCTATTAATTATTACGGAAGAGAGGGGTCATAATTAAGCTTAAATAAACAATTAAAATTCAATAAAGATACCCACGTGTTGAGTCATCCCCTGTTTTGCCAGCTTTCGTCCCTGACCTTCTCTTCTCCCAAACTACATTTACCTAACCATTCTACCCAAAAACTTGTCTTTCATACCCAAAAAAAATGGCTAAACTCGCTTTTTTGTTCTCCATATTTCTCCTCTTCACCTTCTCTCACGCCCGCTTTCTCACCGCCGACGAAACCCCCGCCGATTTACCCGAATCCGACCCTGAATCCACAACCTCCATCCTTCTCCCTAGCCAATCACATGATTTCAACCACGATGATGCCTCCAAAACTGGCTACCGTACCGGATCCCTCCCTTTGACCAGGATCCGTTTTCAGCCTGTAAACCGTCACTTCCCCAGGCGACCTTTTTTTCCGTTCCGTCACAAGCACAGCTGCCGTTACCATAAACGTTTCAGACCTTTGAACCTACGCTTCCATCAGAAGCGCTTTATTTCCTACGGCAACGACATGATTCTGTCCAACTATAGAAGCTTTGACCCGGAATCACACGGTGTTGTTCGTCAGGTCGAGGCCAGATGGGGCAGTTTTCACGATGATGGTTCCGAGTCTAAGCAGCATGTAGATTTCATGTCTCATCACCATGACCATGAGGACGATCACCACCACCACCATCATGACCATGACCATGACCATAAGGAAGAGGACGATCATCATCACCATGACCATGACCTTGACCACGAGGAAGATCATCACCACCATAAAGAGGGACAGGAAAGGGAAAAGCACCACCAAGGCGGGTTAATGGAGAAGTTTCGCAGGTTTTTTATTCATTTTTGAATAAACCATGCACGTAATCTAATCATAGTGATCTAGTGATGCATCTATCTATATGCTTATTTGACTATTTTAACTTTCTGCTATCAGGTATATACTATTTAGTCTACTTTTCTTAGGGTAGTAAATAAGATCGCATCCGTTCAAGTTGAACAATATGATATTTCCTTGTATGATACTCATATTATAAGACTCATATGGCTAGATCACTTGTTTTCACGAATTTTAGTTTTGCAATTAAAGAACAAAAGAGAATCAGAAAATTAATATCAATGAATCTTAGAAGTGGTTGGCGCAAGAACCACCCTGTTGTGGACTGGTGAGTTCGGTGCATGGCCATGGGCTTACCTCGATTGCAGCCCCATTTACATTAGAGCATTTCCATGAAGGCATTACTCCGGGCCTGGAGGCTAACGTTCGAAAGACAGATGCCGGTGAAAGGGGCGTCCTTGAGGCCTTGCATCGAACCTGCTCTCTGTACTTCCACACCCCAAATGTTCTTTAATATAACACCGTTGACATATGGGAGGGCGTTTGGGTTAAAGTTGTTATCAGGGTGGTAGCTGGTGTCGCCTGCTACTTTTATACCTGGTCTTACATTTTCCATGAACACTTGAGACACCGTGATGTTCTTTATAAACCCTCCCCTTCCGATGATGGTCTTGATGTTAACACCGACTCCTGTGTTGTAAAGAACTATGTTCTCAGCCAACACATTCTCCACGCCTCCAGATGTTTCACTTCCCACAGCAATTCCAGCAAATGGGGTTGTCCCTCTTACTCTTCGGATGGTGATGTAAGAACTGGGACGTCCATAAGCAATCCCGTATTCATCCCATCCGCTCTTCACCGCCACGAGGTGATCGCTGGTATTTCTTCTATACAAACATTGGAGCTTGAAAATGTATGCATGAAAGTAAACAAACAGTGTTGAAAATGGAACCCTAAGATGAATTCAACGAATGAAAACTGTTTCCATTATCTTTTTACATGGATCAATCCCATCAGTATTTGGGGAGTCAGGTGAAGCCAGGATGGTAATGTTTAGAATAACAACATAGCTGTAAAGAAGATAAAAGTATATTAAGCAAGCAATGAAGGATTATAATGTAGGAATCAATGGAGAAATTACCTGCAATAAACAGGGTGAATGTTCCGGAAGGGGGAATCTCTAAAAATCAAGTTGGAAATAAGAATGCCATTGGAATTAACAAATTCAACGAGATTTGGTCTTGTAAACTGGAGTCCTCTGCCTCCACATGTTCCACCAGATATCTCCTTGACCATCAATTGTGCCATTCTCACCTGTTATGATTCGTGGTGGTTAGTTAATGGTAGACGAAAGGAATATATGCAAAGCATATATGAGGAAAGCTACCAGAAATTCTGAACAATGGAACACGTTAATATCAAGACATACCGTGCACATCTTGCAGTCCATCACCATGAATAAAGCTAATATATCTTCCTCCGGTGTGCTCCCTTCCCCTTCCATAAGATGGAAAAGGAACAATTAATGGCAAATTCAGAGTGTCCTGAGATGTTAATCCAGCAAGGAAGTTTTAAGAATCTCCAACATATCATACCACATCGAGAGGACAATAATGTAGTAAAGTTTTTGAAACTTTCAAATTTGTAGAAATGCTTGGAAGAAGAGAAAATAAACCCATCTCATCAAAAGCAAGAACAGCAGTCTTGAAAAAGAACCGCCCTTGCAATTATTTTCATGATTAAAACCCAGATTACAAAGATTTTATAAAGAAGGAAACATAAGATATTCCCATTGTCAAAACTTACCAAGTTCAGCTGCCAAAAATGGGGAAGGAGTACTAATTAAAAGCTATAAGATTTTGGGTTACCTGAGTGGCTCTGATAACAGCACCTTGAGCCAAATAAAGCGTCATGTGCCTGGTAAGATTCAAACTGTCCGTTAAGTACACCCCAGAAGGCACATAAAGTAGCGTGCCACCTCTCCTTCTAAGATGCTGAATCCGATATATAGCTTTCCGGAAGGCCTTGGTATTGAGAGTCTTTCCGTCGTCGACGCCACCGAAGTCTGTTATCGATATCGTTTCGTTCCTGTAACTCATGGGCACAATCCCAGAGCACGTTATCGATTCCCCATAAGAAATGGTAATCCAAATCGAGGCCTCAAGCAAGAAGCAACAAAGCAAAACCGAACCCAGTGCTCGTAGCATCCTGTTTATTTGGAGAAAAGACACAGAAATTAAAGGAAACGAATGGATAGAATACTGGGTGTAGATCTGGAGATAGCTCCAGAGTCTTTCTTTCTGGATATTTCTCTTTATTCAAGTAGAGGAAAGATAGAAGAAAGGAGTGGTACTAGTAGTAAGTAGTAGCAAAAGATCAAAAACAAAGGCTAGAGAAGAAGAAATCGAAAGACAATTGAAGATTGACAAGAGACTTATCTTTAAAACAAAAAGAAATCAAAAAAGGCTTAAGGAAGAAGGAGAGTGTGAGAGTGAATGGGCTCACAGATTCTAAGCTTTGCTTAACTAGTCAGAAAAAAATGCATGATCCATTAATTAAAGACTGCAACTTTTTCAGGGAGGAGGATGAAATTGTAATTAATTTTTTGGTTAATTTGTGTTTGGTATATAAGATTATATTTAAGTTTTCAATGTCATGCAAATTATTTTACTTTTCTTTAATTTTATACCTAAAATATTTTGTTGCACCTCGATCAAGGGGTAAATATTGTACCTCATTCGGATTTTCTTAGCAAATCATACTTCTGTTGTCATTCATATGTTTGTCGAAGCATCCGGAGGAACTCCTCCGTTGATCAAAACATCCAGAATTCACTTCGGTCAGCCACAATCTCACATGACCACCATCAAATCTAAATGATATGTCATAACCAAATTTATTATCTTACAGTTATATCTTTTGCCCTATCATCATATGAACAAATATCATGACTCTAGGTCATACACCAACACTAAGGGTCGGTATATAAACCATCAACACTAAGAAATCTCACTGCTACCGTCCGAGAACCATTGCTCTTCATGAAATCCATGAATATCAAAAGAGCTCAAAGCTTTTAATCCGAAAGACACCCTTCCAAATCCATGCAACGATGGCATTGCAAAGGCTACGGGGCATGTCTAATGGGTTTATTCGAGGATACCTACTAGTGCGCAATATACGCTAAGAGGATGACCATTCAGTCAAATGATCGCTATTCAACTCGCCGGGCAAGTTCAGAGGACGATGGGTCGGTAGACGGCCGATGAGGACAATAGCGACGAGGGATGTCCATCGACGAAATTGATACTTTGAGTTTAAGGATTTTAAGATTTTTTTTAGATTTCAGATAAATTGTCAGATTTTTAAAAATAATCATAATTTTAATTTTTTAAATAAAATTTTTAAAAATTTATAAACGCACTTAGTGTCACATTTTGAATAGTTGACAAGATTTTTTTAATAACAATAACGGATCAGACACTTAAAATCGTAACGTCGAAAATATTAAACACTTAATTGACCGAAAAACTTTATGAGTCTAAACGAGAAAAGAAGTATAACTTTGGTATTTATTTTTTTGTAATTAAGTCAATTTTTTAAGAGATTAAACTAACATTTGATATTTTCAAGGGGTAGAAAATATTTTCACCATTTCATTAACTTAAAACTTTACAGTTTGTTAAGTGATTTAAACTGCATTTTTCTTTTTTCATTTTGGGGACAAGATCCTTGCTTGCCCCTTAGATACGCCCCTTGCTGGCTTGAATCAAAGGGAGTACAGGGTTTGCTTGCTGAAAACGAATTCATCACAAAAGACGAACCTAAGCCCCTGATTGCAGCGGCGGATGCATACTTTACTCAGTACATTCATGTCCACCTTAAAATTTAAATTTTGATAGATCAATTATTTATTTTATTAACAATATTTATTTTAAAAATGTTATCTGATTATCTCTATTCACCAAAGCCATTGCCAAGTCTCCCTCAATGGTTAGATAGAACTGAGCTTAATCTGTATTATGTTTGGGCATCTTTCAATAATTCTAGACTTGTTGCTTGTGATAAGAAGCAGATTTAGCTACTTAATTTTCATTCAAATATTCAAGGTCCCACATAATTGTAATAATCATACAACTCCCTGGATTATAATCCCTCAACCAGAATAGCAGAATTAGAAACCAAAAGGGGCAAAAATCTTATTCCTGCCAGAAAACACTAAACACAACAACGAAATTTACCATTTTCACACTACTGAAACACAAAATAGAAAGAAAAAACAAGTCTCTCCTGGTGTTTATCTGCTGAAAATTTTCACTTTGCGAAAAGAATTTAAGTAGAAAATGTTATAATGCCTAATTAGCGAGAATCTCCCATAACAATTCTGCGTCAAAAGACGGCATTCTTGCAAGCCAACACTCATCGTATTGTTGTTCCTCCACCATCATTATCGGGTAATCATTCGACGCCGAATTCTCACATCTCCAAGACCCACCTTCAGACAAACTCGGTGACAGCAAGTCGTTGCTTAAACTGTCACTCAAAACCCCCCTGCGATAACGATGAAGACGACGAACACGGTTCACTTACCTTAACTTCAGGGGAGGAAGCAGCAGGGCTATTGGAGTTGACCTTCTTGGATTTCTTTTTAGCTCTCTCTCTTTTCAGTTTTTCATAAATGGCCTGAATCTTAGAATCCACCGCGTTCTTCAGTGCATTCAACCGAGCACCGTCACCAAAACCCAGTTTACTTGGATCCTTGAGGTTTTGAAAATTCAACCTCGCGTATTCCCCTCTAAGCTTATAAGCAGCACGATCGTACGCATAAGCGGCGGCCTCAGCTGTTTCGTAAGTCCCTAACCACACCCGCATTCTGTTCTGCGGGAGTCTAATTTCAGCCACCCATTTCCCCCACTGTCTTTGCCTCACCCCTCTGTATTGCTTCTTCTTTTGAGGAGTCGAGTAGTTGCTCGTCGACACCGGAGAAGGAAAAGGAAGCGAGTTGCAGGAAAAGGAATTGTTCCGTTTGTTCTGTTGGCTGAACTTTTGAAGCAGGTCTCGCTGGCGGAGATAGACT